CCTATGTAAGCTTTCTCAGACGCCTTATCCTAATGAGAGCATCTGAGGAGAAGGGCGTGGGTACCAAGAGCAGCTGGAATAAGATATTAGGTGGCCATTAATGTCTGGCTTTACTGCAGCTTGTTTAGGGTTTCTTCACCACCAAGTGGTGTTTTGCTTACAGACTGACTCACGGCTTTGTGCATAAATCTTATGAGAAGTGGACTTGAATGGGTCCCAACAAAAGAGGGGCTGTCTCTCCTGTCACTTGTAAATCACAGCATGGCCGTGCAAGATAACCAGAGGCTTAGGTTTTGAAGACAGTGCTAGCACAATTACTTAATTGGTGTGCATGGAGTTGTAGTCTCATTGAAAGTGAAGGTCAGTTGTCCAGACTAGGAAAGGGAGTGTTTGATTCTTGCCCACTGTTTTTAATTTAGATCTGGGTTACTAGAGTTCTTAAAAAAATAAAATAAAGAAGAAAGGAAAGAAACCAAAGAAATCCAAGGTATAACATTTAAACTTGTGATTTATTTATTTTGAAAATTTGTTGCTGACCCTTAAGGCTTGACTAACTTAGCAAGTATCGCTATACCCAAAGCAGTGTTTGGTCTTCCTTAGGCAGACGCCTACCCATTCCTCGTCTTGATCAGAGACACACAGAAAACCAAACCCACATCGCTGACCCATTACACTGTGCCCCACCCAGCCGCACCTTGCTTGCCCCTTGACCCCTCCCCACCCTCTCTAACACTTCTGCTTTGCCCTCTGTTCCGTGCACCAGCTCAAGCCACCTCCTCAGACTCCAGCTGGGATTCCCTTCTCATAAACCCTTTTCTTGGGCTTTGTTCAGTACAGTTGACTCCAGTTCACTGTTCTCACAGGTGTGGCACCCCTGTGTCTATGTGAGAGCCCTTGGCACAGTGTATTGTCACAATCTCTTTCACGATTGAGTTAGGAGCTCTCTGGGGGCTGGTGCTAGGCCTCATTTCGATGCCTAGAGTCCATCCTCGCACTAGCATGTGGTGTGAGTGAATGAATCAGGGTGGGTGGCGGGAGAAGAAGTGCTGGTGGGGTAAGGTACACTCAGGTTAAAAGGGTAAACTTAACTGTTTGGAGAAGAGAAGAATAAATGCTGTTTTTGTTTATGCAGGTCTTAAAATTTTGGTAGCAGAAAGCAAAGGTGCAGAGAGCAATGGAAACAAGTCAGAAGCTGCTGTCTGATTCCAGAGATGTCCACAATTTATGACATGTGATTTATGTTGAAATCTTCAATTTATCCTGAAACCTCAAATTGCTAATTTAGTACAATAACACCTGGGGAAATAGGTCATGAGGACTGCAGACAGACCTGCAGAAGGCCACAGATCCTCTTTACAATGTAACCTATTGCTGTCACACTCTAGACCTATGAAGTGCTGAGCATAGCCTGGTGCTCTGGGCCTTTTACTCCCCCTCAAACCCTGAACTACAGTCCCATTTGCATTGTGCTAATCTGAGGGCTGGGAGGTAGTCAGGCAACTTCCACTCCCCTGTGTGACTTGTAAGCCAAGTGGTCCTGCTGCCCGCCTGCCCCTCCTCCTGCCCACTGCAGCTCCTGAGAGAGGGAGGTAGAGACTTCTGAAGCTTCCCTTCTGCAACTTTGTCCTTTGGGGAAGTTTCAGGGCCTTGATGGAAGTCACTAGCAGCTTGTTAAGATCTTATATTGATTAGGAAGTGTCCTTGACTTACAGCCCTCAGCATCCCTTTGAAGTACTCTTACTTTTCTAACCTGGGAAACTGGCCTGTGGTGACCAGTTAGAAGTGCTGGAGTTGAGGCAGCCTTCTCAGTGCTTTGTGCCACAGACAGACTCCAGCAAGGCAGCCTCTCCAAGTATTGTCTGTTCTATCAATATGTACTTAGACACATTAATCCGAATTAGAGAACTGATTGTACCTAATGGCTCCCCTGGGATGCCATGTCAGAAAAAAACAAAAACTGAAGGAGTATGTTGAATATGCGGAGTAAGTAAAAAAAAAAAGATTGTAAAATTAGTGTTAATTGAGCTTGGACCTTGATCATCTTTGTGCTTTCAATTTTTAATTTGACTCTTTAAAACAGTTAGTTCTTCCTCTCAAAGATAGAGCCTAATAAAAGTTATACTGTAACATTGCCAAAAAGACATTTAAACAGGACCCAATTTTGAATTATCTTAGAGAAATAGGTTATGTGTGGGGTAGACACATGTACAAATACACATTCATAAGTGTGTTTAAAATACATTGTAGTTGTCCTTTATCCACATGTTTTCTCTTTCTGCCTCTGGAAGTGGGGCACATTTTCTTCAGTTAAAAACAGAAATAGAAGCGACGGTCTTGACCCATTTTACACCTGTTTATTTCAGGCTCTCACCACACACTTGTTCATGGGCGCAGCAAGAAGAGGGACCCACAGAGCTGGAGCCGTGAGGGCTGACACATTGGGAGGAAGCTGGCAGAGCACATAGGGAGAGCTTTCCATCCTGCCAGCTCTGTATCTGCTTCAAGACAGTTCTATTAGTGAATTAATTGTACTTTAAACCCCAAGTTTATATAGTTGAATGTTACTAGAAATGACATAGATTCATCCAGAGTGACTGAAAGAGTACAGCTGCCACTTACCTCTGGGGAGTAGCCTGCAATATGTGTTCCCTGGTTCTAGTGTTCTTTTTGCCCCAGCAAACTTCCCATTCACCCAGCAATGACCTGTTTGTGTTGATTATTGCCTCCCAAAAGAATGGAAGCTCCATGAGAGCAGGGCCTCTGTGTTGTCTCCTCTGTCTCCAGCACATAGGGCAGCCTGGCCTGGCATATCAATAAATGCTATTCAGTGAACTAGTGGGTCACTGGTGTTGCGTCCTTTCTCAGCCTTCTCCTTTGACTTGCTGTTTATGTACTTTATGTATTTGTGTATACCTTTCAAAATTATAACATAAATAGGAAGTTTTGTTTTGCAGCTAGTTCAGCAAGATACAAGAAGCCAGAGCATCCAAGATTGTGGGATTATGAATTTTTGAGCCACTTTGTTGTGTTATCCATGCCACCTGAGTAGCAATAGGCAGGGGGATGTGAGTCACTTCCCTGACATGTTGTAGCATCACCACTGCTGAGGAGAGTCTGGGAAGAGACTCAACACACAAGAAGGTAGAAATGAGGTAGATACCCTGAATCGTCTCCTCAGGATTTGGTGATGAAAGGCGTTGACTGCATTCGGTCCAGTCCAGATGCTGTCTAGAGTGAGCAGGCATTGACTAGGACACTTGGAGCTGGATGGAGCTAACAAGAGGCTTTGGACATTTCAGCCCTCAATGGACCACACACGCTTAGCTGCCTCATGAGAATTTAGGACTTAATAATCTCAAAACTGGCTTAGTCTGTGCTCTCTGTGATATTCACATGTCACCCAGAGCACCCAGGGGCAGTTATTAAGCATGCATGGCCGGATGTGGAGAGTAACAGCAGAAGTCCTGACCCAGAAGCCTTCTTTATCCTTTTGTGTATTGGCAGAGGTCACAGTACCCGATATTACTCCTACCAACCTTGAGTTTTTGTTCTTGAACAAAGACCCAAGGGGACAGTCTCCTGTGAAGTGGGCCGTTCTCAAGGTGAGTTTGTCTATAGCATTGGCTTGTGATGAATAGTCTGCAGAAATAAAATTTCTCCAGGTGTAGAGTATCTGTCAGGTTTTGTTCATTTCATTGTAAACTTTACTTATTACACACAGGAGGAGTCAACTAAAACCATGACAAAGAACCAATTTACCTGAGTTTTATTTCACTTTGGAAGTATCCAGTACCTGTGCTCAAACCACACTCAGTTCTTTTTAAGTAAAGCAAAGGCCAGACCTTTCTGTGCCATACAGCAAACCAAGAGACTAAAGCCTTTGGTAGTGTGGTGCTGTTTGCACTAGACAAGTCACTGAGTTATTTTGAATGCAACCTTTTCTTCCTGTGGAAGTGTAAGACGAGTCAATTTTGAGGCGAGAATGTAATTGCAGAAAGTGGTTAATGAGGCAGAGCTCACAGACCCCTACTTAGAATTGTGTGGGTGAATAAATCCTGGTAGAGGGTATAGATGTAAGGAAAATTCTTGGTTGCAGTCAAGAAATGCAAGGTTGAACTTTTCTTTTTCACTAAAATAGAATTTTAGAACCTCTCGGGATAAGTTGTATTTTAAATAATTTAATTTGCTTAGAACAGCAACCCAGGGCATAGTGAATACAACTACATGCTCTTTATTCTTGAAGGGTTGAAGTATAAACAAAATCATGTTTTAATCCTGCTTAATAAAGTGCACTATAATTTTGTTATGGGCAATATCTCCTTTCTAGTTCATCACAGAATGTTTTCTCAAGTTAAGAAACCCACTCATTTCTCTTGGTTGGTGCTCCTGTTGTTTGCATGTGGAAGAAGCTGCAAGCGCCTGACAAGGGTACAGCTCTCATGGGCCATGGAAGAGCAGTTATTCATGCATTTTGAAATGTCTTCATCAGTCTGAAGATCACATTGACTTACTGTTTACATGTGCTGATCCTCTGTGTGTGTGTGTGTGTGTGTGTGTGTGTGTGTGTGTGTGTGGTGTGTGAGTACCTTTAAGTTTTGTGGGATTCAGTGAAACTTCTGATGATTGTTTAAAGTCACTGTTAAAATTGCATACTTAGCACTTCATTCAAAATCTAGCTCTCAGTGTTCCTGCTATTTAAATGATATGCCATATGCTTTTGAAGAGTGAGTCCGTGAGTTAGTGCCCTCTGCTGGTACACAGAGGACATCAGGCAGAGATGGACTCTGACCCAAGAGCCCTGGGCTAGCTCTGTAAAGAGCCACTGCCTTATGATTAGTTGTTGAGTCATCTTTTCCTTCTGAGTTTGAAGGTCCCCAGGTGCAGATTTATACCCACTTGCAGTTGGCCATCTTATATTTGGTGCCTGCTAGTTTCCTACCACTAAGCCTGGCCATGGAGTTGACTTAGCAGTGGTCTCACTAAAGTTGAGAGTGATGCTCTGCATAAGGAATGAATGTTTGAGATGTTGGCATTCAGATTTCTCAGGATGCATCCTCACCCTGTCTCTCCAGAATGGACATTGCTGTCAATTCCTGGGGTAAGGAAAGGCCTCCTGCTAGCTTTGGGCGACTTACAGGCATTGCTTGGCCCAGGCTTGGTGGGTTGGTCTTACTTGTCCCTCTGGTATTCTCTGGAGCCAGCTTTTTCACTGAGGTCCCCTGGCCAGATTCCGTTACTCTGGATTTCAGCATCAGGCAGAGGAGACACTACATCTGTCTTCAGCTCTGCATGGCCACAGGTCTGGGGAAGTGGCTCTGCCTTGTGTGGGTCTGTCAGTGAAATAGGGAGGTTAGACTGTGTCTCAAACCTGGAAGAGAACACCTTGGAGGATGATGCTAAGGGGTGAACTCAAGGGCCAAACAGATGAACTTTCCTAGATTGCTGCTAAAGGCATATTTCTTCACTGAACAGCAAGTCCTGCCCATGGTACTCAAAAGACCAAAAAACAAAACAAAAAACCCAACTCTCATTTTTGGGCTAACTTTGTATTTGACAGCAAAGTTCCAAAGATAGGACTGAGTTTACATATAATTGGTAAGCCCTTTGATACCATTGGGTTTTTTTTATATGTGTTCCCTTTATATCGCTTCATGTGGGTCAGATTTGGTTTAGTTGCCCACTTAGCACTTTGCTAAATAGTTGCCTCTGGTCCTTGAGTTCCACTGTAGACCTGGCACTTGTCCCGAAGCCACCTTCAGTTTTGACCTCATGCCATGTCTCCGGCTATTTGATGTTAGAAACATTTTCTGCGATTTTCCGGCATCCTAATGCCTAAGTATTTTTCCTATTGGTACAGTTAACTGATATGTGCAACCTAAGGAGAGACAGGGTGGTCCGTGGCATCGTGTTTCAGCTCTGCATTTTCAAAGTCTCATAGCTACTTCTCATACACTTAAATTGAAGGCAATGTACATGTTTTCAAAATGAGTAATCCGCAAATGTTTCTTTAGAAGAGTAAAATCAGTTCAAACCCTTTCCTTTTAATGAACATCTAAATCCACAGTCTGCCAGCTAGTTTTAATACATGTATGGAAATACATGGAAACTCTTTGCAGTTCACATACTTTAGGTTTAAGAAAGTGACATGACATGTCACTTGGCTTCTTCATGCTGAGGATGAGCAGGGAGAGCTTTGTCCTTTTTTCATGAACAAGATGATGTAAGATCAAGGGTTGACCTGGTTGAGGGAGGGCCACAGAGCACAGACCCTGGTCCCTGTCATTCCGCAAGCAGCTCAGCATCCCCAGCCCACGGCTCCTGCAGCTATGCCTTTGAAAAGGCTGCTGTCCCCTTTACATTGATGAGACTCCTGGTGACCTTAGGCTGGTTATTGTAAGATGAATTGCTAAATGGTTTTATTAATAAAAAGCCAACAACAAACCCGGAACCAGATACTGGGGTGAACACTGGAAGATCAGAGAAACAAAACAAGCCACAGCTAACCTCGCCTCACCAACTACTCAGCTGATCTTGTTTCCTCAGGCTGAAAGCCTCAGAGTCCTCACCTGAATGGATCTCAGCTGCTCTGCTGCTAAAAGCCTCTAGTTCCTGGTCCTCATGCTTTAAGAGCTCAAGTTCCTGTTTCCTCAAACGTTATATAACTTTCTGTGTCTTGCCATGTTACTTCCTGGGATTAAAGGTCTGTGTCCTTCCCGAGCGAAGACATGAGATCTTAAGTGCTGGGATTAAAGGTGTGTGCCACCACGCCTGGCTCTGTTCCCAGTGTGGCCTTGAATTCACAAAGATCCAAGCGGATCTCTGCCTTCCGAATGCTAGGATTAAAGGTGTATGCTACCACTGCCTGATCTCTATGTTTAATATAGTGGCTATTCTGTTCTCTAACCCCAGATAAGTTTATTGGATTGCACAAAATGTCAACCACAGGTTATGAATAATTCTTTGATGACTAGTAGACAGTTTCCTTATTCTATATCTTCATTAACTATTATGAAGTTGACATTGTTAGGACTGAGTTGGCAAACCCCACCACCCCATGTCTTCAGAAGAAACTAGGGAGTCAGACAGCGTGTACTCATTTGTGCTTTGGGCAGTGATGGCTGTGTTGCTTGCATCAGGACCATGGTGGTGTCTGGGGTAATGGGCTGCTTCTATGATGGTGTAATTACTCTGTGATCCCTGGGTTGCATGAGATAAACCTTGTCAGTAGAGATGTGCAACATACAAGTGTTTTTGTTGTTGGTTTTTGTTTTTTGTTTTTTTGGTTTTGTTTTTTTAATAAGTGCCACTGAGCTATTTGAAAGAAATGTGATAAGGGCCAGTCCTTGAGAGGCTAGGAGAACTTCTTACGGAAACACTGGGATGTAGATGGAAACAGTAGAGCATCTCCAGAGAGAAAGTTTGCATGTATGATGGAGGCAGCCATGCTTTAGTAAATTATAATGCCCTACCCATTCCTGTCCTATGAAAATTAAATATTGTTGTCACATGTCTTGCTCTTCTTTACTTTTGGTTGATGTCCATTTCTAAGAACATCACAGCTCAGAAGAGTCCCCTGTACTGATGGTTGTGGAAATAACAGATATTAGGCTGTCAAGTCTCAATTCACCACTTCGGTGAGTTTGGGGTCTGTTGCTTTTCTGTTGTGCTCTTTGGAGATGTAGCTCCAGCTAGTGTTCCAGTTACTGTGTAACTGAGGACAGTTTAATTCCTGCTCCTCCTGCCTTCACTTCCTGAGTGCCACCACGCCTGGCCCTGTTGCTTTGCTTGCTTGCTTGCTTGCTTATTTATTTTGAGACAGTGTCGTTCTATAT